TCAATGAGGAATGGAGGGATTGGAGGTCACAAAGAGGATGAAAACGAGTTTTAGGAAGAGTTTTAGGCATAGGGGGATGTTATGGTCAGACAAAGGAACTTCAGAGTTCTTGATCATGGAGGTGGAACATTTATGGGTGATAAAATTAAGAGCATTTTTGTATGCCTTTGGGAAATGAGAAGGTTGAAGAACAGGAGGTCTGAAGGGAAATCAGTATGTATACTGAAGCTTTCAAATATAAGGGCTAGAGTTAGGGTGGAGAAGACTATTAGTCAGGTACTGTGCTCCTTGAGAGGAGGAGGAAGATATCTTAGGGGTAGTTAATGTTTAATGCCACTAGAGATGAATGAGGTGAATGGACTAAACATCGAAAATGGGAGATATTGTGGCAGATGAAGAATTTGGAAATGAAAGTGGGGAGTGAGACCTTCTCTTGATCCAATGTGTGTGCTGTGGGAAAGAGGAGTGGCAGGGATTTGTGCCACTAGATGTATCTAGTACTGGAGAGCTTGGACAAAGATGTGCTGTTTTCTGAGGGAAGCCACATCTCACCATAAGTGTCAAGATGAAGCCATGCAGGAGGAAAAGGTCTAGGACAAGAGTCTGTTACTAGTAAAAGGGTTCCAGAGGGTTTGATGGAGGGGAAGTACAAAGCTGGATGGAGATTTGGGGAGGGGCAGGATTGAAATGCATGGGGATGAGAGAAGAAGGAATAATAGTAGAGGGTAGGGGAGTGATTTTTCAGTGGTTCTGTATCATTGGAATTAAGAGGGAAGGAGGTGAGAGTTTGCTAGACATAGGATGGGGATGTCATACCTCTTCTTAGGGCTTCTACCCTAGAGAACCATAAATGGCAAAAGATTAAATAAATTCTCTTCCTTTTAAAAAATAATTTTTTTTCAATGAACAAAAATCCATCTTCTCCCTCTCATTTTCCCCTCCCCCCATGGAAAGAAAAAGAAAACTTTTTTGAAAACAAATTCATATAGTCAAGGAAAATAAATTCCGCGCTGGACATATCTGAAAAATGTCTCCTTCTGCATCCATTCTGAGTCCATCCCCTCTGTCAGGAGGTGGGTAACAAGCTTCATCAAAGGTTCTTTGACTCGTAGCTGGTCACTGCATTGATCAGAGTTCTTTCAGAAATTTTTCAGCTGATTTTTACAATGTTGTTACTATGTAAATTGTTCTCCTGGTTTTGCTCAATTCACTGCAACAGCTCATGCACTTTCCCAGGTTTCACAGAAACTATTCCTTTCATATTTTAATGGAATAATAATATTCCATCACATTCATATAACACAATTGGTTGACCCATTCCCCAGTGGATGGGCACCTCCTTAGTTTCCAATTCATTGCCACTACAAAAAGAGTTTCTATGAACAAATCCTCAGAATCCCTAAAAATGATTCCCCAGAAGCCTGATGATGACTCACAGGAGCTGCACTGGGTCTCCTGTGCCTCAGGGAAGGCAGTTCTATTTCATCCAGAACAAAATTCCCCTTTATTCTCCTTGTGGTTTCTCTCAAATGCTTTAAGGAAAGCACACTGTAGGGATGCAAATATTTATTGAATGACTAAATCGGACTTGATTACATAGGCTTCTACATGTCAGCTGGTGTCCAAATTTATGTATTTGTACCATAGGCTAGAAAGTGGACAGATTCCACTGACCCCAATATCTTCCCCTCTCCCCCAACAAATTAAAAGTTGTTAAGAATTAAGTATCTGACTTCTTAGGACTGGCAGGGTCTATTTTAAATTTGGGCTCTATTCCCAAAAACCCAACCAGGTAAAATAGTAGGAACCACTGGAGGCAAGACAAAATTAGAACTAAACTTCACTTAATTCTGTATACATCCCTTCCAGTTTATCCTGAATGCATAACTAACGGAGAACACAGATGAAGAGTTAACATTACTACATCACCATGGGCAAGGATAAGTTGACCTACCTCTCTAAATCCCAGTGTAGCATTTCCACTCTGCCTCCTATTCCACAGGAGGCAGGCTGCTGTTATCACCTGGCCTGCATGGAAGGGGGAAATGAGATGTGTTTATTAGCATTCTCTCTTTTCCTATTAACTCCAGTGGGTGAAAAGGCCTGCTTAGCTATCTGACTTCTCTACAAAAAGCCACCTATCAATCAGTGGTCTTCTTACTCCTTAATTCCCTGAGTTACTCAAAGGATAATGGTTAGGTTGAATGTATAGAAAAGGCAAGTATGAGTGTATGAAAATGGAAGACCAAAAGAATGTTTTCTCCTTAAACTTTTCATTGTTTGGTATTCCACTTCAATAAGACACATCTACATCATTGTAAGGATTACAAAACTCTACATAAATTATCATACATATTCAATTCTTATAACAACTTGGTGAGGTGGGATTGGCTTGTCATAATTATGGACAAGTATGGGGGGCGGGGAATAATACCCCATGTTATAGATGAGGCAGGGAAAGCCAGAAGAGATTCTTAGTTGGCTATGCTTATGTAGCTGTGGGGATTCAAACTCAGGTCTTCTGATTTCAAATCAGACCATATTACACTGCAGAACTTGGTGTCAAGAAAAAAAGTTTGGTGGTGCTTCTCGAGGAAGAGGAATGCTGATAGTGTACTGGGTGTGCGTGGTTGTGTGTGTGTGTGTGTGTGTGTGTGTGTGTGTGTGTGTGTGTGTGTGTGTGTGTGTGTGTGTGTGTGTGTGTGTGTGTGTGAGACAGATAACTTTACCACACATGCAGTACATCTGGATTACTGTTATCAGGCTCCAGTGGCTGCAGCTGCTCCCTGAACCGTTCTTTGAAAAGGTGTAAACACTTTCCCCTTCCCTACAGTCCCAAATGCTACGCGGCAACTTGTAAAGACAGCAGGAAGCCAAACAGCTTCAAGTCCAGGTTCTGGCTCACTTAGGTGTGTTCTGCATGCCGATCCTTTACCATTGAATGACTCCTTAGACTCCTAAATCTTTGACTATCTTAACCCTGGAGACCTGGTTCTACCTCCTTCTTTCACTGACTTCCTTGCCTCTGTGATCTTTCCTTATTCATACATTACCTAAACTCTTTGGGGCTCAGTTTCTGCATCTATAAAATGAAGATGACTGCAATGACACTACCTGCTCAACAAGATTGTTGTAGAGCTTACACAAGAACATTGGCGGTGTAAACTATAAAGCACTGAATGTAGGCAGTCCTTATTTTTGACTGGTGAACCATTTTCACTAGGTAATCTCTAGTCTTTTAGACCTTTGGCTCACACCAAGCCTTTTAGATCTGATTAACTTCAGTGGTCTGTTGTCTAGCATTTTCAATACCTCTTTCCCCCTTCTGTACGTCATGGCTATCTCCTTGAAATTCTACTACCTTGGATCCTTGGCCTATGTTGTGTCTACTTCTCTGACTACTCAGTCTACAGCCTGGTCTTTCTTCCATTTGGAGGTAGATGCTCCCTAAAGCTCAGTTTTTTGCCCTAGTCTTTTTATGTACTCTCCCTGTAAAAATTCATCTGATTTCATTGCTTCAAATATCATCTATATATGGATAATGCCCATATCTGCATTTTTAGCTGATTCTTCAAATTCCAGTTTCACATTCCTAGACTTAGATTTCTTATTACCTTAAACTCAATATACATAATATAAAATTCATCTTCCCCTATAACTTCCTTCCTTTCCTGATTTTTCTATTTCTGTCAAGGGTATCATTCTTCCTAGTCAGTCAGGCACAAAATTTTAGAGTTAAATCTTCCTTCTCTCTCTCTCTTCCTCCTTTCCCCCCACCAAGTCATATCAATTTTTTCCTCATATTTTTGGCATACTTTCATCACCAAATATAAATCCATTTTTCAAAATCCAAGTTTCCAAATCCATTGCCACCACAGTAAATTAATCATATAACTGAGTTTCAACTACTGTAGTAGACCAAATCTCTTTACCTTTAGTAGCTTTTCACTCTGTTTCATTTTGTGCACACTGACAAATCCACCTTTTAAAAACTAGCACTTTCATGTTATTCCTATTTCAAAAACCATTGGCTTCCCATTCCTATTAGTGAAAATTCAAAATTCAAACTCCTTAGCCAGGCATTTGAATTCCTCCACAATCCAGGCCCCATTTACCTTCTTAACTTTTTCTACCTAACAATTCAGTCAGTCTGATCTAAATACTCTCCCCTACATAGGCCATAAATATTTCAGTCACCATGAATTTTCAAACACCACTTTCCCTGTCTCAAATACTCTCCCCAGCTATTCAAATACTATCCAAGAAAGCCTGGATGAAGTCGCACTCCTCCACTTTAGCCAACATTGACCACTGAATCATGCATTATTAGAATTGGAAGGAATCTAACCTCATTTTACAGAAAATGAAATAGGCCCAAAGAGCTTACTTGCTTAACTGCTGCAACTAATTAGTGGTAGACCAACAAGAACCCAGGTTTCCTGATTTGGAGTTCAAAGTTCTTTCTACCACACCACATTGCTTCCTATAATTGAGTAACAACTGTTTCCATCATTTATATGGGAACTGAATTAAAATAAAAAATACATTGCCTTGTGTTATCTCTAGGGTTTTTTTTAAAATTATTACTTCTTATTTCTCTAGCTATATAATAAAAAGTTGTGATCTTTATACAAGTTTCTTGACAGCAAGGGGGCCCAGTATTGTACTTCTAAGTCACTCACAATGCCAGTATAGCACTTAGTGGATGCCCAACGAATAATGATTAAAATAATGACAAAGAAAGGCTTCCAAAATTGAGAACAGCTCATATTTATATTGTACCTTAAAGTTTGCAGAAGGCTTTCCTCACAACAATCTTGTGTGAGGTAGTTAATTCAAATATTATCTTCATTCTGCAGATTGAGAAACTGAAGTTATTTCCTTCCCATATTTTAAATAATTTGTTCAGGGTAAGCTTTTAAATATTTGAGGTAGGATTTGAACCTTCTGACTATCCATTATGCCATGTTGCCCCAAATCAATAAGACAACAGACAGGAATAATATGTACATTCCTTTTTATTTAATACAACACAGACACATGACACATATAAAAGAAAAAAAAAGGAACACTCATGTAAAAGGGCCCTGCCACAAATGAAGGACAGGCAACATCTACAGCTGAATCAGATAAGGCTCCTGTTTTAAAACAGGGAACTGCTAGCTATGTCTGGAATATGAGCAAGGCTGTTGCCAAAAAAAATTAAAAATAAAAAAATTAAATCCCTGCACTGTTCGGGGCATATCCATAGAGTATTTCTTTCACAGATTTGCATTTAGGAATGTTCAAAGCCCTCTTGCCCACTAAAAGACACTAGAATATGATGGGATGACTAATGTTTTGTAAAATAAATCTGCTTTAAATTCTATTTATAGAACTGTGAAGAGTTCTTGAAAGTAGATCTTTGAAAATGGAGAAAAGTCCATATGATTATTTTGTGAGACTAGAAGAATCCTTCATTAGAGCAGGTCTTTGATATTAAGCTTCCCAAGGGGCAAGGTTCTGTCCTGCACAACTAAGAATGCAGGTGGCAGTGGGGTGGTGAGAAGAGGAGGTTTAACTTCCTAGTAATAATCTGGTAGCTAGCATCCAATCAACTATTAGAAAGGATAAAATGGAAATACCTATACTCAGTGCAGGGTTTTAGTAGCAGCAGTTTGTTCATATTCCCACTCTAACAAGAGCTGGAAATTAAGCAAGCACCAGGTTGTCTTGAAAAGAGCCTTATACACGCATACACCCCCCCCCCCCATACACACACACCCATACAAATACACAAATCACCACCACCCCCCTTTATTTAAAATTTTTTTTACTAAAATAATACAAAAAAGGGAGACGGGTGTATTTACAAAAATCCATGGCTGGTACAGTACATAATTTTTAAGACACACTAAATGCTACAATCTTTCAGGTCCTGAGATTATTACAAAAATCAACTCAAAGCTTGTGTTCAGGTCCAGTTTTTAAAGGAGAGAAAAAATAATAAAAACAGAATATTAAGTCACACACTTGTTTAGAATTACAGTATCCCTTCAAGTTAGCAAAATGCATCTCCCTAACAAACAAACACAACATAGTAATTAGTGCCTATCAACAAGAGCAGCTGCAATAGATTATTCAGGCTCCTTCCTTCAAGGTTGGTTCTGAAGCAAGCTGGTATATACGAAGTGTGGAGGTGGCTGGAGAAAGAGGAATATGTATACTGGAGGCAAGTTTCTTCCGGGAAAAGACATCATGAAGTTACATCCTGCTTTTTTATCATAAGCAAAGGCTTCTTCCCCACATCAATTTTCATGCCTGAGGAATATGGATATTAGGTGACCCTGAATAAAAATCTGAGTAGGATAATTACTTCAAAGCAATTATAATATATAAATCTGCAGTCCCAAAACCATTCTCAGAAATATGCATTTACCTTTGCTATTAAGAAAACGCTCTGTGTGTGTTGGGGATGAGGTGGTTAGAGGTCTTTTTAGATCCTTAGGAAGGCTTTAAGAAATATCTGTAAGTTGGGGCAAAATAACTGCTCACCAGCCAGAGATTTCATTTCCTCTGCTTTACAACTACATTTGACAACTATAAGCAGGCAAAACACTCTGGGAAAGCCCTCCAGCTTTGCATATTCTCATTTATTGGAGAGTAATTTGCTACTTTTGATAGATTATGCAGTTAAATTTTGGAAATTTTTAAAGTGGTGGTAAACAAAGGATACTGCAGTTTAAACCCTTTCACGGGGAAGTTGGCTAATGGGTAGAGGACATGAGTTACATTCCCTAATTTTGAAAGTCTGTAAGCTCTATTGTTGCAAAGATTATTTGCTAAACCAACGGAGCTCATTGAGGTATATGAAATTATGTAGGTATATCCAGGCTTAAAAATAATGTATCAAAAAGCTAGTGGTCAAATTCCTAGCTTGTCAATTACATTAAACAGTAATTGCTAAAAGAAGCAGTTCCCATCCACCAATGTCATCTCTAGTTTGTACTGAAGGAATTATTATTGTTCTAGACGATTATCTAAGGCAAAACCAGTAGAATTAAAAAGGAATTGGGAGCAACATTAGATGTAAGGATAAGTTGAACGTGAAAGTTAAAATGTAGTAGATTGGGCAAGTGGAGGAGATGCCACATAGTAAAGATGTGGCCAGCCTGCTTACCTTTGTTGTGGCAGACTTCAAGATATGTTTTGAAGAATCTACAGGCTTTTAAAAGAAAATTATTTTCAACCTACCCTGGGGTAATGGTATCTTATTTCTCCTTTCATTAGATTTTAATTAGTCCACTTGTTAAAAAAATTAAAATAGCATTAGAATAACTTGTAAAAAAGCTGACTAAAAACAGTACAATTCAACACGTCACCATTATAACTAGGTAATATGGGGGTGTCTGAGAATTAAAGAAAAATCAGTACCCTACAGCTAGCTCTGAGGGCTCAACAGGTTTGTAGGAGCCAGATCTCTAACAACAGAGGGACTTGAGCAGTTCTACCCATTTCCAGGAAGGACTGGATGTGAAAAAGAACTTTTAAGCAATAAGAGCCCCCATAAAAAAATGTACCTTGACTTCTGAGAAAAGAACAAACCTGCCAATTGCTTTCTCTGAGATAGATGTCACTATCATTACCTTTTAACAGTTGTGACACCTGCTATTCTGCATTATAGTAACAGAAAAGAAAAAAAGTTTTAGTCACCCATTGAGACCAAGTAAATTCTTTAAATCCTGGACACAGATATCTACATAATTACACCTCTCTTCTCAAAAGACATACTTGATATGTTTGGCTAACAGCTTGGAAAAGTGCCAGAAGTTCTGATATACTATGAAATGGAAATCCATTGAAAGTGAAGGAGGTAAAAGCAGTAGGACATGAAATAAAAATAAAGGTAGATGTTTCTATCACTAAAATTTACTTTTCAACAATTAGTTTTTCAGGACATGTGAAAGAATATAATTTCACATTAGGACATATGAATACAGTCTGATTTACTGAAACAGTTTTTAATAAACTTTTAAGAAAAACAGTTCTGGTCTCCCAATATAGTGCTTTAGCAATGGTACAAAGAATCTTTACAAGTTCCTCAACTAAGATGTGAATACCACTCTTTTGAAATATATTTTGGACCCTAGTCTTGGCTTTGGACTTGAATGGGAAGAGAACAGATTGCTAAAATTTCATTCTGGAGAGACAATGTGCCAGTTGAATTGATGGACTATTTGATCACAAAGATTAGAAAATATGAAAATGTGGATTGATGGGACAATAAGAAGGGCAAAAATTACGGATTCAATTTCCAAAGCTATTTCCAAATCAGAATTATATAGAAACAAAATTCTGGCTTTTTCATTCAGTTTTGCAGAAAATTGTATGCCTCATTATTTGAAACTCTCTCTGTATTAAACATTCCACTGAAATAGTTTTAGTTCAACAACCCAAAGCCATTTTGTGATATTAACTACAGTCTGGCACCAGTGAAAGGGTTTGCATTTTGTTTTTTAATACAAAGTTCACATTTCAAGGTTAAACAAAACAGAATTTCTCTCTTTTTCCTTGAAGAACACACATTCAACAAAACCTTTTGCCTTAATTCTTTGGGTAGAAGTCTAACATGTTATTTGAGGAATGGGAAAAGAGGAAAAAGTTATATAATACTGGGAAACAAAGAATACCTTTATCTGCATAGTTGATATTAGTGACAACTAAGGCTTTATCTGGAAGGAAAAAAAAGCAACAAAACAGCAAGCAAAAAAGAACAGTTTTTAATTGCTAGAGACAAACTAATTGGTCCTTGGAAAACTCTGCAAGCTAAACCAGATGCTTTGCTTGCCTTGGGCCAGGGTGCTCTCTCTCCTGATTTATTTTGGCCAGACATCCTATATTCATCTCCTTAACTCTCCTGACTGATCCTGATCATGTGCTACAGTCTGAAATCTACAAACATGCCCTAATGGCAAGTACTCAGCATTTTTACTGTTACTCAAATTCATACTTCCTACTGAGTTTTTATGATAATTATAAACATATATTTGCTATTTGACAAACAGGGATGAGGAAAAAAGAAAAACATAATTTGATTTTCTTCTGTGAACTGGGAAAAAACATATTCACTACTCATGACAGAGAAGAGTACCTCTCCTACCTCTCTCCCATATTCCCTTGTCTCACATACCCAGTGCAATGCATTCTTGGGCTTTTCTGAGAACAGAGAAGCAGAACCTTGTCACCAATGGAGATGGGAGTGTATAGAGTTGACGACGCATTTGACAAAATGACAAGAACAAAGTGTTTGCGTAGCATTTGTCACTTCAGTGCAAAGCTGGCTAAGCACTATACCAACCCAAATAAAATTGTTATGTTACAGGTGAGCCTGATGTCTGATGCATGTGTACAGGAACTAAGACTCATTATGCTCATTCCTAGAAAGATTCATTATAAACTGTCTCCCAAATTCTTTTCATCTTTAAAGCTAAAATCCTACCAATCTCTAAAAAAAAGTAGTTTGGTCTGACAAAATTAGCTCTAGACAAAGAAAACAGCCACCTTTCAAGATTATCATTAACCCCCAAAGCCAGTCAATTAGAGGCTTTTAATTCATTTGCCATGTCTCAGCCCAGTAGCCATAACCATCCTGTTAATGGCAATGTTAACTTGTGGTATTGACAATTCAGTTACAGGAAGCAGTACAGTGTCACTTGTCACTGTTGTACATTCTATTTTTTTTTAAAGAAATGGTTTTAATCTTTACAAAACAACCAGATTACGTAATAATTTAAAAACTAATTTAGGGTTTCCCAAATTCAGATCTACTTCCACCACTTTACAAAAACAGGACACTATTCAGAAACATGATACCACTTAAATGTGTTTCCAGTTCAAATATTTTTTTTCTCACCAGGAATAAAGAGAGTGTATTAAAATATCAAATTGGTGTCTAGATTAGACTTTCACTGATTTTCCAGAATGTTAAAAATGTTATGGTACTTTTAGACCCATTAGGGGGGAACAGTTACTCAGCCTTTACAAGAAAACAGTAATAAGACTTTGCACTTATGTAGGAATTTGAGAGAAACTAAAAATTCTTTTGAAATATTAAAGTTTCATGATATCCCTGGGAGGTAGGTGAAGATAATTATACCCAATTTTCTGATGGGTAATCTGAGGCACGAAGGTTAAATGATTTTCCCCTAAACACAATAAACCAGTAACAATGCTTATGACTGAACCCAGAAGATCTGCTATCTGTTCTAATTAAATAATGCTACCAGGAACTGCTCCTTTCTTCCTCTCCTTACCTTTAGCTTTTTCTCAAGTCAAATTTTTTAAAAGGGAATTTACTGACTACACTAGAGAAGGAAAACACTGGATTCATAAATTAATTAATCCCAACCTTTCGACCCAAAATAATGAATTCCTTTATAAAAAATTGTCATACTTTTTTGTTTTTAATAGTTACATAGACGAATTTTAGATATGGGTATATATATATATGCTTCTTGAATCAAAGAACTTTACATAGTCCTGAATCAAGAGCAACATAATGGCTGCCTTCCCCCCCCAAAAAGACCTAAAAAGTCTTCTAAGAATACTATAGAGTTCTTTTTTGAGACTGCAGTCTTCAGCATCTGAACCTTCTGTAGCTGTAATTTTATTTTTTATAACATATGTAGCTATGTTGATTTTTTTTAAACACTATTTTTCAGAAGAAAATTTAGTACTTACAAAAACACTCACTTCCCTCAGAGACTGTTTAGGTATCAAACCCCAAATCTAATTTTTATTTTAGTTTTGCTTTACTCCATGCTCAAATGTACCCAATCACCTTAACTTATAATATACCCTTGTTGTTCCAATACTTCAACAACTGGACATTACTCATAGAAAAGTTTGAAGTACCTAAACAACCTAATATATCTAGTGGTAGACAGCAAGTATATTGTTTTCATTCCATTTGTGACAAGAACCTACAGAGAATCGTCAGAATAAACTTAAGAATGTTCTTTTCCAAAGTATATTCAAACGCATAGACACAAAGCAGCAGCTACTACCATCTGGAAACACGATTGCCAATCACCCATTTCTACTGATTACCCATTTCTTAAAAGCAAGAGTGTTGGAGGAGAGTGTTCAGAAAGGATGCAATGGTACAGCAGCTCCTAGTTTTTATAATATGTATATGCATATCTATCTATATATGTATGTGTATGTGTACGTATATATGTGTGTGTGTGTGTGTGTGTGTGTGTGTATACACACACACACACACACACATAAATCTTACACATATAGCCACATATGTATTAGGAAAAGGAAGAGTATTTCAACATGATGTCACCTTGGCAAGTTTAAGATTTTTTTCTCAAATCCCTGACTATTCAGCCTGTACTTTAGGATCTCTGAGAACAGTTTCAAAAGGGGGGAAAAAAAAAGAAAAGGAAAAAAAAGGCACTTAACAAAGGACAAAGGCCTGAACAGAGCATATCTTAGAGGGGACAATAATAAGCATTTTGCAAGTGTGGAAACTGATTAAAATTCACCAACATTTTACTTTTTTCCTCCTTAAATTTTTACAAAATAAAAATTGCATAATATTAATTAGTCATTTACCTACTGCATTTGTTTTCTGCTTCATTATTAAAAAAAACCCCCAAGAATAATAATAACAACAAAAAAAGCCACCTTGAGATTAAACGTCCCTACTAACAACTTCAGTTCAGAAGAAATTGGGGAGCTGAAGTATAGGGAGATTTCTCAAGTTTGGTTTGACTACAGATTTTACTTATTCTTCTATTTCCATCTTTTAAAATAAGTTCAAAATGCAAACAATCAAAAACAGAATAGAGGGACCACTGTGCTTTCATGGTATACTCCCAAAATAAAACATCTCATTTCTACCCATGAGCAAAATTCTACTATGATCCCTTCTTCCAAATAAAGAACTGTAAACTCTAAAGTTTGCTAATACAGTCAAAGTTCATTTTACAAATGTAGCAGCAAATGTGATAGACAGTTGGAGTCCTAAAAGATGATCCCCAGGAATATACAATTCTTTTAATAAATGGCAGTCTGAGACAATTATAGGATATCTCTATTTTCACTTCCAGAAAGTGTCTTGTACCAAGTGGAGGTCCAAGGGGATATGGTAATGGGTACAGGAAAGAGACTAAAGGTATCTGCCCTTCCCAAACCCGGGGTAGTAAACAACTTAGATCTGCTTTGGGGGAAAAAGATCCTGGGTTAAAAGTCACTTTTAATAGATTTTTACTAAACAGATGTCAAACCCACAGCATTCATACTACTGATTCTGTTTCTCCCTTTACTTGTAGATAGAATATACCCCATCCAACTTCCCTCATTAAAACAAACAAACAAACAAACAAACCCAGCAATTTGGGCTACTAACATCCATCACAGGGGTGGTAGGCATGGAAGAGTATATAAACATGATCATCTGACTTCCTGATCCTGAGAAAGGAATTCTACAGTTCAAGATTAACCTGGCTTCTTTCCCCCAGGTCGTTTTGAAAAATCTTAATTTATTTTCTCTGGATCTCTCAAGTACATGAGAAGGCATTATTATAGGGTTATCTTTGACATTATTGCTTGCATTTATTTTGGAGGCTCTGAGTGAGCTTGACACTTTGCTCCCATACAGTCCCCAATCTAAGCTCAGTGCTGCTCTGTCAAGAGACAGCTGTACTGGCTATTATTGCTTGTGAATACTGAGGATTTCTTTTTATGTACAATAACAGCTTATATATCATCGAAGGCCATTAAAAATATAAGACAGCTGAAAATAAGCAGTTTAGTCTTCCTGAAACAAGAACCCTGCTGAGTGAGATTCAGTTAAATGTGCTAACTCTCCTTTTGCATTGGGGCGTTGCTTTCACTCTTACAGAAAAACACTCTTCCTTTCAAAGAAATGTGGATTCTACTAATGTCCTTTCCAATAATTTAACATGTTTAAAAATCACAAAATTTGATCCTTGCTGAAGTACAAAAGTGCAGTAAGATCCACAAGTCCCTATGCTCCTATGCTGAAAATAGTCAAATGAACTGAACATCTTTTCAAGTATGACACACTGTACAAATGTACACTGACAAGAATATGGGGGTGATTTCCAACATTATAATCTAAGTATAAAAATGTGTTTATCTCTTGGCAGAAATTTCTAATTATATATAACCAGGTGTGCACTGGCCCTTTGACTCATCTTGTACAATATTTAAAAAGGTAGGGAAATAGAACAGAGTATGGTGAGGTTATTTATGATTTTTTTAAAAAATCAAAGATCTGAGAAGAATCCTAGAGAGATTAAGGACTGAATAAAATGAACCCTGAATGTTTCTGAACCCTTGAAAATAAGGATTCTTCAGATACTTCTATTAGTGAGTATGAAATAACATCAGGGAAAATAATTTATAATCCTATTGTCAGGCAGACACAGGAAATTCAAAGAAATCAATATGGCATGATTTAACATTAGTTAATTCAAGAAGTATGAGTATTACAGTGTTTCTAATATGAAATTTGAAGTGATGGATTTTAGCATATCATGGCACAATTAACAGAAGCAGCAAGCTTAGGAACACTCTGAAAGCCCTAACCTTCATCACAGATGGCTAGCCTTAAAACAAAAATCTCATTAACATTCATTCAAATAGATACAAATAAAGAAATTCTTTAAACTGATTTCATATTTTCCACTAAGTTTAGTGAATATGAGCAAAATGCCGACAATACTAAAATGAATGAAGTAGTGGGAAAATATCTCTAATAAAAATTTAACCAAAATTTAAATCAATTCATATTAATTTAAGCCCTGGAGTCCCTCTCAGCAACTTCTTCCAAATTCTTCCAAAATGCCTACTAGGGTTGTCAAAACACTCACACTTGCATCATGGTAACCAAAATTCTTAGGTTTACAAAAGCAAAACAAAATCAACGAGTAAGTTTAAATTAACCTTTTCCCTACATTGTGATCAAGCTTTAAAAATTCAAAAATTCAGTTGCATGTTTAAAAAGATGTTCTTTTGTCACAATGTAAAGTCAATACGACTTCAAAATAAAAAAATCCAGATACAAATGTTGGTAATTTAATAGTTTTTTAGGCTATGAGGAACTTTTTATATAAAGGAAAATCAAGGTCTGGGTTAGCATATGTACCCTCATAAACCTAAATGAACTGTGTGACATGATTTCCCATGAATAATAGGAAGGAAATCTTTTTGTCAGTGTTCTAATGCTTAATGAATGATTTTATTTCAGGTTAGTCTGTCATTTATTATACAAATGGATTGAATACAAAAGCCTTTACTTCTGAGCACAGTGAAGATATGAAAAACATGGCTTTTAAGAAAGCTAAACTTCAAGCAAAAGAAAACAGAACAACGTTTGTTTTTTAAAGCTTAAACCAAAACCAAAGTCAAATCAAACCAAACAAATCACATACTTTCCTCCACGTGGCCACTCAAAATCCTGTGCCACTGGTGGTTCATGTGGAATCAGAACCAGTGGAGGATTCTCAACCCTTCAGATTGACTCTCCTGTTAAAACTTCTAGCTAATGAGGTTTTAGGATCTTCACTGCTACTAATTAATGACAATAGACTTAAGCCATTTAGGATTTAGGTAGGAGAAATGAGCTGTAAAAATCTTCACAAAAATTCCTTACTATACATAATGATACTAGCCCCACTGTTCTCTTAATGCTGACCTAAAATACTCAAAATATGACTGCCATACAGAATGGTCACTGAAGAACCATTATGTCATAAATACACTGATTACTGTCTAAATCAAAAAGTTAATCTGAAGTACCACTATCCAAATTAAAAAAGAATCTGTTAACTAATGTCAATTCAGGTTAAAGTGAGTCACAAGTCATATCATTAGACTAGCAAGGACTGAGACCTCCACAGCAGAAACACTGACCCTGAGGGTTTCCCACCTTTCAAAGAGAAAAATATATAAGTAACTATATTAAAAAAGAGGTGAAATTAAGAATTGACCAATTAATAGCAGATAAATAAAACACCAGCCGAAATTCATTAAGTACCTGTGTCTAAGGGGAAAATGACCCTTTGATAAAAGGGGAAAATCTTTACATTTGATCTGATAAGAGCAAAAGACACTCCATTTTCTTATTGTCTTCAAAAAATCTAGATGATTTAATACTACATATCACTGTGCTAAAATAAGTTTCTGGAGAGGGATTATTATTCCTCTTTCCTGCAGCATCCTCAGTCCACCTTGTATACTGTTCTACATGGAGGGATTGCTACATGCTGGAGATCCTGCATCAGTAAAGAAGGTTCAAGTTTGATCAGGATTTTTGAGGATATAGTATTCATCTATTTACTGTATCAGACACTGGACATGTTAATGGGTTCTCTGTGGCAAATTTATTATTTGCTGCATAGGCCACTCAAGCAGACATGATCATTACTCCTGGTAAGCTGGTCTAATTTCAGACATATTGGACTAAAATATTTTCTCTTATTATGAAATTATATCTGCACCCAGAGTGGTCAGGCCCCAACCCCCAGGATGGATGAAATTCACCCAAATCTGTTCAAATTCCTTCTTCCTCCCCTGGGGAAAATCAAGTTTGTACTTCTGTGGGTTTGACAACTGAATCGATTTAAAGCCAGTTAGCATTGTAACTCTGTCTTTCTGTAGAAAAGAACAAGGTCTCTAAGTCTGCACAAAAGCCTTTCTTCCTCCTGCACCTGGCTTTGATCAAGTATTGTTTTTCTTTTCCTTTTCCTCCTCACCACAGTGCTTGGGACTAGAGAATGTAAACATTGACAGAAACAGCAGCCCTGTGACCACATAAGTACTTTCCCATCAGGTAGATTCCATCAGCCAATCAAGTGTTCCAACTCCTTTGCTAGCTGGGAAGTCACTGAGTTTTCCGTTGTAATTTAGTGTCCCCTTTACTTTGGCCTCCATCTGAGAAAGAGAAAAAAATGGGCCAGTGAGTGGAAAGAAAAAAGTTAGAAGAATCAATTTTTTTTAAAATCACAATTTGTTAAGATACTTGTAACATTTCATTTCTGCAAAGGTGATTCATACCTTAAAACAGAATATTTAAAGTAATTAAAACCAAAGTAGTAGAAAAACTGGGTTATGGAAATTAAAAAAAAAACAAGGATTCTTTTTATGTCAAATTGATGAATTTATATTTGAGGTTCAAATACTTTTGAACATGCCACTTAAAGAGGCAGCTGGTAGCATAGAGGGCAGAGCACTGAGCCTGGAAGCAAGAAGACCTGAGGTCAATCTGGCCTCAGATATGACCCTGGGCAAGTTACTTAACCCGTTTGCCTAAGTTTCCTAAAGTGTAAAATGGGAATAATAATAATAACGATGATGATGTGAGAAACAAATGAGATGTTTGTAAAGTGTTTAGCACAGTGCCTGGCACACATATAGGCTCCATATAACTGCTTCTTTCTTTCCCTTCCCAAAATGGTAATGAATGAATGTGTGAACTACAGAGTGCATATTGGGCAAGCAATAGGATTCTGTTCATTTGTTCATAATTTTATTTAGTATCTACTATTTGCCTAATGTTGACACTGGGGATTTATAACAGAGTCATAATATGTCTTCTCTATGGTCAGAGGACCTATCTTTTGATTCCTTTAGGAGACACAGACAATTTCACCTCCTTTTGGTCAATCAGTGAAATGGCATTTATGAAGCTCTGACTATGCACCAGGTACTGTACTAAGCACACAGATACAAAGAAAGGCCAAAAAAAAAAAGTTCCTTCTCTCAAGGAGCTTTCCATCTAAAGGGAGAGAAAATATGCAGTGAACTATTAGAATGGGAGCACTTTCGAGAGCAGGGACTTTCTTTCTGTATCCCCAGCACTTAGCACAGTGCTTTGCATATAGTAGGTTCTTAAGAAATCTTTTATGTGCAAACAAGATACAGGAAAGATAAACTGAGGACAGTCTCTGACAGAAGGCATTAACATTAAGGAGGAGCGACAAAGAAGGCTTGCAGAAGGTAAAACTTTAGCAGTGACTTGAAGGAAGCCAGGAAGTGGAGATGAGGAGAAAAAAGCATCCCAGGCTTAGGGGGCAGCCAGGAGACAGAGTGTTATGTTCAACGAATAACAAAGAGTCAGCATTAAAGCAGTGCAAAGCACATGGAAAGAAAGGTATATGAAGGGTTTTAAAAGACAAAGGATTTTATACTTGATCCTAGAGATAACAGAGACCTTCTGAAGTTTCATTAATTAGGGGTTAATAAGGTCAGACCTGTATTTTAGTAGATCAATTTGACAGCTAAGTGAAAGATGGACTGGAGTGAGGAGAGGCAGGGAGACCAAAGAGTGGACTATTAAAATAGTTCAGGCAGGAGGTGATGAGGGTCTGGAGGAAAGAAGGGGCACAGACAAAGGATGTTATGAAGGTGGAAATGAAAAGACTTGACCATTAATTAGATATGGAGGGATGAGAGTAAGGAATAGAGGAGGACCTTACAACCTAGGTTGTAAGTCTGGGTGACTGGAAGGATGATAGTTCCTTTGACAGTAATAAGGAAATTAGAAAGAGGGGATCCCTTTGAGGGGGAAAAAACAGAATGAATTCAGTTTTAAAGATGTTGAATTTAAGATATCTCTGGACATTAAGGATATATACAAATATATAATTGGAGATATGAGACTGGAGGCCAGCAGAGAGGTTAAGGTTAGATGAGTAAATCTGAGTCATCTGCATAGTGATGATAATTAAAACCATGGGAGCTAATAAGATCAAATGAAAGGTTAAGCAAATAGAGATTCTATTAGACCATTTTTCTACCAAGGGGAATGAAGATGCTGAATTGAGATGAAACTTGAGAGAGGGCAGAGAAAAGAAGCATTTTCCTTGATAGAAAAATATCAATGGTGAAGGGTGTCAAACATAAGGCATGGTAAAAGAGGAAGGGAATAAGAATTTATATAGTGCCTACTATGTGTCAAGCACCGTGTTAAGCACTTTTAACCAACATCTCATTTGATACTCATTAACAACCCTGGAAAATAGGTGCTTATTCACCCTCATTTTACAGTTGAGGAAACTGAGGGTCACACAGCTAGTGTCTGAGGCCAAATTTGAACTCACATCTTTCTGATTCCAGTCTCAGTGCTCTATCCATTATGCCATTCGCTGCCTAGGCAATAAAGGCACAAATAAACAAATTATTTAACTCAGTGTGATAATGACAAAATGTTTCCCTATCTCTAGAAAAAAGTTACTAATATAACAAGGTAAAGATTATTTATAAAGTGTGTATGGGAAGTATAGTGCTAGGAGACATTCCTACACTAGTAATGTGGGTTTTCCACATCACAAAGAAAAAGCAGTACTATAAATCTCTTCGCATGCATTTAACCTGCATATTAAGTGTAACATTCATAGAATGACAACACACTTTTAAAATGTGTTCTCTTTAGGCAGTTTTAAATGCGTTGTATGAAAAAACTTTGTTTCACTAGACCTTTTTCATTGGGTTGAGATACTTTGGACTTTTAAAAGTACTTTAAAATTTTAAGAAAAACTTTTGAACACCAAAATCTAGGTTTTTTAGTATTAGGTTTATTACTATTAGTATTACTAGCATTTATGTAGTACTTTAAGGATTGCAAAGTACTTTAGAGGGATTATCTCATTTGATTCTCATAATGACTCTGGAAGGTAGGTGCTATTACCTTCATTTTTATAACGAGAACACTAAGGCTAAAAAAGGCTAAGTGACTTGTCCATGATCACACTGTGTCTAAAGCAGAATTTGAACTCACATCTTCAAGCCTCCAGAAGTCCAACACTTTATCCACTGTACCACCTAGCTCTCCTAAAAAAACAACCACCCCAATCTTTCCTCAGGAGACTGGTGTTACTTGTAGTAGAAGGTGACTCATTTCTAAAGTTCTGAACCTAAACCAGACCATCACAAGGAATTCTGACTTAGACCATTCTTATAGCTATTTTAAATATTCAAAAAAAGCCACCTTTATCAGGTGGCACCAATATGTCCCATTATTCTAGGCAATTACCTATATGTTATATAAATATAGCTTCCTCAAGCTGCTTTTGACATAAGATTCAACACAAGTCCAATAACCTTTTTAGTCTGCTAAACCTAGGAAGACAGTAAGATAAAGATTGCCTACATCTTTATTTGATTGGGGGTTAAGAATGGGGTTACTTATTACATGGGTTTCAGAGGAGAGCAATTCCATTTCTATCGCAAAATGGCTACATAGATTCTATAACATTACTTGATTAAAAGGCAGATTTTTGTGCAACAACCAGAGAGTTTCGATAAAACCTCAGTCTGAGTCTGGGATTAGAAGGTCATCTGAGGAGACTACCCTCTGCAGGTGCTTTCTAACCCTGCCTCCACAAACGTACTGAGGTTCTACTGCTGGGGGCAGCAGCAGGTACCTAAGGTTCAGGTATTTTGAATATATCATCAAATTCTAAAATTAAATTAGGTGGGTCAAGTATACACAAATAATTACATAGTTAGAAGGAATAAAATGAATGCTTAAAACTACAAAAATAAACTCTAATGGTTACGTGACAACTTTAAATTAAACTATGCTGGCGGAAGAGGCTGGGCAGAGAATGATCTCCACAGCAATATTATCTTAACTTAAAGGAAAAGGAGGCTGGCTCCATGGATAATAGTTCTCCATAGGTTTGGGGAAGGCAAGTGCAGAATGGCCTGACTTATTTCTTCTAATAAACCTCAAGGACGCCTATATTTTAAAATGGTGGACCACATTATCAGAAATGTATATGTATTTAGGACACATACATTTTATTACATAATTAATTGCATTCATTTTCAGTTAGGCTACTAATTGATCCAAATTTACTAGGATGACATTTAGCAGTAGTAGTTACACAACACTAGCAGGAAGCAGCTTATTAGGCCTTACTAATCCACAAGGTTTGGATGCATTAATTAGATATTAAAAATAATTTTAGAAGAAGTTTTAAGGTCTACACATAAAAAAGCATTTAAAATTCAGCTGAGCACAAAATGTGCAAAATTTCAGAAACTTAGACAAATCACAGAAAACAGGTTACAGATGAATTTGTAATTTCATCTCAAGTGGATGTATGTGTTTGTCAGCTGAACTAAACAAAGAAATTATTATGAATGAGCTGTCACAGTAACAACATAACATAACAAACTTAAAAGGATTTAAAGCATAATTATTGTAAAATGTCTCAATCTTTTCCCTTACTTTTTTGTGTATTTTTTTGTTGTAAAATTTTTTTATTAAAAATTTCACACAAGTAGCTTCCTGGGATCAGGTCCAGAGGCCTAAACTTTAATTTAATTTAATATTCAGAAACAGATGAAGACTCTAGGGTGAATTTGGAAATTGTTCTGGGGGGGGGGGTGACAGGGCAGGAAGAAGTAAACTCTCTCTAGAAAATCCACCATTTAGAAACTGACTTTTCCTTAATATAGCAAGACAACATTTATAGAGGGCTTTCATATAAGATCTTAGGTAAAGAGTGAATCTCCAATGTCACCAATATTATTTGGTATTGTTCTGGAAACATTCCCTATAGCAATAAGAAAAAGAAACTGAAGGGATTATTTCTTTCTACAGATAATATGTGATGGTTTGGAACAATGGTGTCAAATTCAAATAAACTTATTTAAAATTATTGGCATATTCAAACCCTGTTGATTAATAGCTCCTCATTTTGTTATGAATACCTGCAGGTTGCATACTGACTTGGAAAACCACAAATTAACATTACCTATGTAATGTAGGGCCTGGAGTTGGGCCTGGAGTTTGATACCTTAGATTTAAAGCACCAGAGATTTACCAAAAGGATACAAAATAAACCCACAAAATCATCAGTGCTTCTGTACATTACCAACAAAACCCAAAGAGATATAAAAATGCCATTCAAAATTAATACAGA